ATAGGAGGGCCTGACTGTGACCTTGAGGGAAATAAGTATCTTACCTGTTTAAAATGTAGCTCTGTCCTGAGGCAGTGGGCTGTCCTGTGTCGCTTCTGGAGACTCAACCCAGGAGAGTGGTGGTGTCTTCCAGAAGGGCGAGAGCAGCCTTCTCGATCAGACTGTGATCAGAGAAACCAGGTGCCTCTTTCTTACCTCCATCTAGGGCCATCAGCTCAAAGAAGTGGTAGGAGGAACTCAGGGCCAGAGGAGCACAGAGGTTCCTTGGTTGGGAAATCCTTCACCCAACTGTGTTTGGGGCTCAAGCGCAGGCTGCTATCTGCGCCTGGAACCTTGCCCCTTGTGTGGGAGCTCCTCATGCCTCTCTAGGAAGGCAGGTGTAAACCCTTCTGACTGCAGTTTATTGGATAGGCCTTGACCAAAATCATTGCAGCTGAGACTCCTGGGTCTGTGGCAATCCTTAATGATCATAGAAACGTGCTAGAAACTTCTGCTTCCTCCCTTCTCCCTCCTCCAGGACTGATATGGTTAAAATGTATATTTGATACACAAATGTAAAACTGAGTGAATGACAACATTGGATTAATTGAACACTAGACACTAACAATTATTGAACAACTTGAGATACTGCTGATACTTTTGAAGGAGTATCCCCTTTAATTCTTGCAGTAATCAGTTTCATGTATGTAACATTTACCATGCGCCAGCTGCCCTCCAAGTGCTTTGACTCACATTTTACAGATGTAGAAATGGAGGCACAGAGAAGTCAGTTGCCCAGAATTGCAGAGCATAAGGAGCAGAACCAGGACTCATATCCAGGCAGCCGGGCCCAAGTCTATGCTCATAACCACCACATTCTGCAGCCCCTCAACGACCCCGAGAGGTGGGGATTATGATTATCCCCTTTACACAGATCAGGAAACCAACCAAATTGCTCTTTTACTTTCAAGCATTGGCAAGTACAACTTTTTTGACTGCTCTAAACATGTTTAAGATTAAATGAATAGTGTCAACTTGCAACCTTTGGGTCTGTAACATTCTTTGCCAAGAGCACTTAATCCTTACACCTCCACGGAGGTAAGCAGGTGTGGATAGTGACCTTTAATTCTCAGCAGGAATTTAAGTTTCCCAGCAGGAAATGACCTGGGACACGAAGCCAGGGCTGTTTATAAGTGGGCTGCAGCTCCCTCTACAATACGGAGACCCTATAATTATCCGACTCAGGATGTGGAAGATGGACAGTTACTGAATGCTGGCTGCTATTTGGTAGATCCATGGGCTGCTCAGCCTGTAATGATGAGATTAGTCAACTCGGGGCTGGGCACAGTGCCAACCTCTTACCTGGGTAGCCTCTGGACAGCTTTGATCAATCAGCAGGACTGCAGCCCGAGGCTCATTTGCTACGGTTCTCTGCCTTTCAATTATGGAATGACCATAAGTGTGTGCTCCTTTGTTTTGAGAGTCTGAGGATGAAAGTGTGTCGGGCAGGTGGAAGGTCGTGTTTGAATTTTCTAGAAGTTGAATTATCTGTCTTCCAGGTTTGCACACTCTCTGCCAAGCAGTGGCTGACCAGTCAGGAGCCTTATTCATCTGATCAGTAGTGTTTCTAGAGGCACCTGGATAGGATGAACAACACTGACCCCAACGAGGAGAGGTCCCAGCTGGTGACCTCGAATGAGTCACTGAGACTCTCAGAGCCTCTCTATGTTGAACTTTGAAAATAGTGAAGGGTCCTGTTCTACCACCTCACAGGCGATTGTGAGGATCCATTGAGATAAGAGAGGCTGCTCTGTAAATCATAAAGTAGGAGGCACGTGAGACCCGGGATCAGTGCTTGCCCATCAAGAGGACCAGTTTATCTCATCCTAGCCCTGTAGGTTTCAAAATCAGTTTTCCTTCCCTTCCTCACTGACCATAAGTCTATGGATGGCTTTTAAAATTATTTTTATTTTCATTTTTTTGAGATGGAGTCTCTGTTGCCTGGGCTGGAGGCTCACTGCAACTTCCGCCCTCTGGGTTCAAGTGATTCTCCTTCCTCAGCCTCCCAAATAACTAGGGCTATAGGCACATGCCACCACATCCAGCTATTTTTTGTATTTTTTTTTTAATTTATTATTTTGAGATGGAGTTTTGCTCTACTGCCGAGACTGGAGTGCAGTGGCACAGTCTCGGATCACTGCATCCTCCACTTCCCAGGTTCAAGCAATCCTCCTGAGTAGCTGGAATTACAGGCATCCACTCCCACACCTGGCTAATTTTTTTTTTTTTTTTTTTTTTTGCGATGGAGTCTCACTCTGTTTTCCAGGCTGGAATATAATGGCACCATCTTGGCCCACTACAACCTTTGCCTGCCAGGTTCAAGCGACTCTCCTGCCTCAGCCTCCTGAGTAGCTGGGATTATAGCCACGCGCCACCATGCCCAGCTAATTTTTGTATTTTTAGTAAAGACCGGGTTTCGCCATGTTGGTCAGGCTGATCTCAAACTCCTGACTTCAAGTGATCACCTGCCTCAGCCTCTCAAAGTGCTGGAATGACAGGCATGAGCTACTGTGTCCAGCTGATTAAAAAAAATTTTTGTTTTGAGACAGGGTTTCATTCTGTCTCCCAGGCTGGAGTGCGGTGGTGCGATGTTGGCTCCCTGCAACCTCCGCCTCCCGGGCTCAAGCGATCCTCTCACCTCAGTCTCTTGAGTAGCTGGGACTACAGGCACATGCCACTATGCCCAGCTAATTTTTAAATTTTTTGTGGAGATGAGGTGTCACTGTATTGCCTAGGCTGGTCTCCATCTCCTGGGCTCAAGTGATCCTCCCACCTCAGCCTCCCAAAGTGCTGGGATTATAGGCATGAGCCACCGTGCCCAGCCTCCTAGGTGGTTTTAACACAACAGATTGTCCCTGAGCCCCTCTTGAGGTGTTTGTGGTGCTTGGGATTGGGGAGGAGAACCCAAGTGAAAGAAAAGGCAGGGCCCATCCATGAGCCAGTGGCCCTAACAGGGAAAGACAGAGCCCTAGAGAGCACAGCTTCAGCAGGAAGATTTCTGTTACTTTTTATTCTTAATGTTCATACAAAACGGGCACATTTGTGATGCATTTTCACAAAGTGGATACATGTGTGTCACCACTGCCTGAAACAGCACATGACCAGCCCTGCATCCCTGGAACTTCCCTGGGCCCTTCCCAGTCAGTACCACCTCTAAGGAGTCACCATCCTGAGTTCTACTACCACAAGTTAATTTGGCCTATTTTTTGTTGTTGTTGTTTGTTTTGAGATGGAGTCTCACTCTGTCTCCCAGGCTGAAGTGCAGTGGTGCAATATCGGCTCACTACAACTCTGCCTCCTGCGTTCAGGCAATTCTCCTGTCTCAGCCTCCTGAGTAGCTGGGAGTACAGGCATGTGCCACCACACCAGCTAATTTTTGTATTTTTAGTAGAGATGGGCTTTCACCATATTTGTCAGGCTTTTCTTGAACTGCTGACCTCAAGTGATCCACCTGCCTTGGCCTCCCAAAGTGCTGGGATAACAGGCATGAGCCACCACGCTCTGCCAGTTTTGCCCATTTTTGAACTTCAAATAAATGGAATCATCCAGTGGGTACCTTTAAGCCGGGATTCTTTCACTTGACACTGTGTGTGTGAGATTTTCCTTGTTAACACGAGTAGCTGTAACTCGCTCATTCTCATTGCTCTAGGTAGAATTCCATTGTGGGACAAGGTGACAACTTATCTGTTCTAATGATAGGCGTTGGGGAGCATCCAGTTTGGGGTGTGCTATGAATATTCTAATGCATGTGCCTTGGTGAACATCCACACACATTCTTTTGGGTGTGGAGTTGGGAGCAGAACAACAGGATTGGAGGGTGTGCACCTGTTTGGCTTAAATAGATACCCAGGAAGGATTTAAGCAAGGTGTTAGGAAGAACTTCTGGACCCTAAAGGTTGTGGCCAACTAACTCATGCCCAAGAGGCAGAAGCTGTGAAATTTCCTTCTGGGGAATGGGAGGAAGAGGCTGGATTAGACGCTGCTGAGTGCTGCGGGGGGTGGAGGGCAGTCCTTGACTCCTTCCTGTCTGGCTTTGGCTTTGGTGCCCTGTCTTCAGTCTGGGGTTTCCAGACTGTACTCCCCAGAGGTGTCTCAGCCATGTGAGAGGATGAGGAAGGAGATTTGAGCGTCATTTCCCTGCTTCAGCCAAAGGGCTCTGTGTGTTCTGTTTCAGGTCGTGGGGGTTCTGAGAATGACTTATTTACTTTTTGAAAAAGTTTTAGCTGTTTCGACATTTGAAAATCCACTGCCCATAGGTCCCTTCCAGCTGGAAGATTCTGTTTTGGAAGCAGGAGGTGGGTGTGGGAAGGGTTAAGCATTATTCAACTAAAGTGCAGAGTTGAGCCTCGGTGACCTTTTAAAATTCTTGTAGTGTGGTTTGCGATGTGGGACATCCTGTAACATTCTATAAAAATGCAATGTTCAAATCAGACAGCGACTTCTGAAGCCTAGAGGATGTAGAGGAAGGACTTAACTTTGAGAAACGTTTAGATAGAATTTCCATGAGTCTTGAGGACTCTCAAGATAGCCTTTTATCCATTTCCCTCTGGGTGTGTGTGTGTGTGTGTGTGTGTGTGTGTGTGTGTGTGTGTGTGTATGTGTGTGTGTGTAACTTCCCCACTGGCTGGTCTAGGAGCAGTCACTTGAGGTTGTTTGGGTCCGGAATGGTTCCCATTTTTATCCAGCAGTGTGATGTGAGCCCCCCGGGTGTCCCTCTCAAGGGTGGGTGGTGGCCTTTCCTCCTCCCATAGTAGGCCCAGTTTGGACCATGGTTTTACTTGGCAGAGAGGCCGGGCTGCTCATAGATCCAGAGAGGAACATTTCTGCCTTGGCACGCAGCTCGGGGTCAACAGGCCTGATAAACAGCCCATTTCCCAAGGCCTGCAAGGAACAAAGCCCTGGGCAGCTGAGGGCACTGTCTACTCCCCAACTCCTGAAGCAGCTGTTTATTCTTTTGACAGGAGTTGAAACCAGCACCTTCCCTTCCTGAGTCCTGCCTTCTCCTGCAGAAGCGAGCTCAAAAGAACTTTGCTGTTTTGCCTTTTACTCTGGCGTGAAAGCAGCAGACGATGAGGTATGTGAGATGGTGAAATGATTTGCTTCTGCCATGCTGGGGTCATGGGTGGATCCCCCTAAACACTCTCTGGTCCCCTCAGTAGTTTTGGAAGAGGACAAAGTCCTTCTCTCTCCAGCAGTGGATCTGGAAGCAGGATGCTGGCTCAGGGACTTACACTGTAAGTTCAGCTTTATCTTGCTCTGCCTGCCAGGACCTCACAGGGTTGCAGCCATCAGCCGCTTGGAGTTTTTCCTGCAGGATTTAGGGTGTTAATACAGGGGCAGGGGGTGAGTCTTGGGGCCCAGGGGTGAAGTTATGGATGGAGGCAGAGCCCGCTCAGGATTGTGTAGCACCTTTCATTTATCTTACTTTGGTTCTCTGGGAAAAATCCTTGCACAGTGATTTCTAGACCAGGCAGGGTGGAAAAGCTGGCCGGATCCAGCCTTTAGATTTCCCAAAGGGGATTTGAGAGAAAGCACTATGAGATATACTTCAGAGAACAGGTTGTTCCGTTTGAGATGGCTGGAGCGATAGTGGGCTGTGTATTTAGTCTCAGACCTGTCTCTTATTTTCCTGTGTCCGTTTACTCTGACCCTTATAATGAAAAACATAACTGAAGACAAACTTCCATGCACTTCCCCCGCTTCCTTGTGAATTGCATCATGGGAGCCTTGCCTGGTAAGACCCAGCAGCTCACTGAGGTTTTAGGATAAGGCGGCGTTCTCCCTCCTTAGGCCCAGCACCATCCCTATGCTAAGGGCTGGGGCTGGGAGGCAGGGGGTTCTGCATTTTATTATTTATTTATTTATTTATTTATTTGAGATGGAGTCTCGCTTTTGTTGCCCAGGCTGGAGTGCAGTGGTGTGATCTTGGCTCACTGCAACCTCCCTGGATTTGAAGCCTAAATCCACCATTTTATGCTGTGTGACACTGGGCAAGTTACTTCACCTTTCTGAGCCTCTGGGGTTTTTTTGTTTTGTTTTTTTTGAGACGGAGTCTCCCTCTGTCATCAGGCTGGAGTGCAGTGGCACATTCTTGGCTTACTGCAACCTCCGACTCCCTGCTTCAAGTGATTCTCCTGCCTCAGCCTCCCAAGTAGCTGGGATTACAGGCACATGCCACCACACCTAGCTAACTTTTTTGTATTTTTAGTAGAGATGGGGTTTCACCATGTTGGCTGGAATGGTCTCAATCTCCTGACCTCGTGATCTGCCCGCCTCGGCCTTCCAAAGTGCTGGGATTACAGGCATGAGCCACCGCGCCCGGCCTCTGAGCCTCTGTTTTTATATCTGTAAAATGGGGATAACAATAGAGTAACTTCACAGGGTTGTCATGAGGCTTAACTAAGAGACTTCTGAAAAGGGGTTTAGCCCGGGGCCTGGCCTGGCCTGGGTTGACTGTGGAAAATCCAGGCATTGCAGGGCTTGAAGCTGATTCCATCTGGGGAGCCCTCTTTAAGAAAAAGAATGCAAAGTTGCAAATACAATGTTATAAATGGAAGTAAATAAATAAATATCTGGAATATGAGAAGAGACACCACAACAAATAACAAAGACTGACAAACACTCCAAATATAACAAAATCCAGAAAATGACGACATAATAAGATGATGTAAAAATAATACAAAAATGATTAGCATTACTTAACTGCCAGATGCCCCTGTCATGTTTTGGCTACATGCTGTTTGATTGCCATGTTATCTGACAACAGTTTTCTAGTATCATTTCCAATTAAAACACAAAAGAAAGATAATCAGTTTTTCCTGTGGCATGGTTAATCAATGGGACCTTTTTATACCTGAGAGTTTAGGGGAGTTTCTTTTAGCTTCCCCACTTATTATTGGCGATGCCACATCTGTAAGTTTTTTGACAGTTTCTCAGGTGGCTTCAGCCAGATCATGAGAAAACTCAGCCCTGGATCCTTGCTAGGCACAGTGAGGGGGCTGGACCTGGGTCTCGGATGGAACATGAGGTGTCTGTGAGACCTGGATCCTAGTGACCCCTGACCAGGGAGCTGGGAGAGCAGTGTGCAGTTCATCTTCTCCTTGAGGCCGAAGGAAAAGGGGCCCAGGTGCTCAACAACCTTCACCTGGGACAGGTTGTTCCTGGGACCTACTGGGTGCGTAGCCCCCCAGCTGACTAATGGGTCAGCCCTGCAGCTCAGCCTGCAGCCCTGGACAGGCACTGAGGCTAGAGACTCACTCCCACAGGTAGGCAGCACACTTTATCCCTGAGAAGGTTTGAGCTTTCTCATGCCCACCCTAATGGGAAATCAGGCCCTGTCTTGCAAGGGGGTCTGTGCACGTGAGTACCCTGACACCTGAGCCTCATCAGCTCCTGGTAAGTCAGCCTCTGCACTCAATGCACATTGGTTGGTGGTTCCTCTGCATGATCCAAGCCAAAGACTGAGAAGTGATAGTTGATGAATCCTATCATTTGATCATCACACTAAGGAGCCTGCGTAGGTCACTGCAGCAGGGTGAGCTCTATGTGGCTAAAAGAAATGCCCTCTTGAAACCACAAGGTTTCCAGCCTTGAGGCTGATTTCTCATCCATATTCTGGGTCCATCAGAGAAGCCTACTGGAGAATCTTAGCTCCAAAGGACTTGTTTCAGGGATGAGGAGACTAAAGCCAGAAAAATTTGTGACCCCAGTTTAGAAAGCTGGCCCTTTGTTGGCAGTGGGGCTGACCCACAGGACTGTGACAAGGCTGGGGGCAGGGGTGGGGCAGGGCCAGGGCAAGGCCGGGGCAGGGTGGGATGCGAATGTGGGAGCAGCCGGTCTGGTCAGAGCTGTGTTTCCGGGGTAGAGTGGGGTGTGGAGCTGTCTTTAACACAGCACATGGAGTGTGGACTTGCCCCTGACAGTTTTGAGAGGTGCTGCCCATCAAGATTCCTCTCTCAGATGAACTCACAGCCTTGCTTTCACACCAAGCCCTGAGCTATGCATTCCTGAATCTCTCCCATTAAAAAGCATTGTCATTAATATAGGTACTGTGTGTGGAGCATTAACAGACCATGGGCATTAACAGCCCGTGGGCACAGTGTGCTTACAAGAACCCTTTGAGGAGGGTGTTAGAATCTCCACTTTGTATGTGGAAATAGAGGCTCAGAGAGTTAAAGTAGCTTGCTCAAGGTGTACATCTAGGACTCTGCTGATTTAAGAGTCTTTGTACTTCACCTAATTTTTACCTGGAATGCTGGAGCTGAACACTCTCCTTTATAATCAAGGATATGGAGGACTAAAGACTAGAGTCCTGTCCAAGGTCATTAACACCCAGTTAATTACTGCATCCTTCCCCATCCCCTCACCTGTTTTCCTTCTCTTGGCAACACTGTCACTACCTGACATTATATATCCTGTTGAGTCTCTTGACTCCCATTGGAACAGAAGCTCTATGATAATCTTGTTCACTAAAGCATCTCCCCAGAAAACATCTGGTGCACAGTAGCCTAGTTCCATGTTTGTTGATGAATTCGTGGCAGAGCAGAAGGAGCGCCTCAGAGCTCTCCTTACTCATTTGTTCACCCCAAACACTTGTGTTACAGGAAAGGGGTCTGGATTCAGACCCCAAGAGAGGGTTCTTGGATCTTACTCGAGAGAATTGAGGGCAAATCTGTAAAGTGAAAGCAAATTTATAAGGAAAGTAGAGGAATAAGAGAAAGGCTACTCCATAGGCAGAGCAGCCCTGAGGGCTGCTGGTTGCCCATTGTTATGGTTATTTCTTGATTATATGCTAAACAAGGGGTGGATTATTCATGGCTCCCCTTTTGAGACCACATAGGGTAACTTCCTGATGTTGCTGTGGCATTTGTAAACTGACATGGTGCTGGTGGGAGTGTAGCAGTGAGGACAATCAGAGGTCAGTCTCATCGCCATCTTGGTTTTGGTGGGTTTTAACTGGCTTCTTTACTGCAACCTGTTTTATCAGCAAGGTCTTTATGTCCTGTATCTCGTGGTGATTTCCTGACTTATCCTGTGACTTAGAATGCCTTAACCGTCTGGGAATGCAGCCCAGTGGGTCTCAGCCTTATTTTACCCAGCTCCCATTCAAGATGGCATTGCTGTGGTTCAAACGGCTCTGACACTTGGGATGCACCTACTGGAAGCCAGGGCCCATGCCAGTCTGGACCCATCACAATAGCCTGAAACTGATTAAGGCTCAAGAGGGAGGAGGGGTGGGTTCTAAGGGCCTGGTGTAGGAATCTCAGGCTCAGAGGAGAATTCTTTAGCCTACAAAGAGGTGGAGCCTGCGGGGAAGGCTTGGTTTCCCCTGCCACCACTTTCACCCTGCTGGATTCCTGCTCTCCGAGATAATGGCTTTTCCATGGCCTCTGAGTGCACGGCCATTCAGCTGAGAGGTTTACCTTTTCCCCTGGCATGAGATGGAGAAAACAGGGTCTGCTAGAATTCCTTTCAGAGTGGTATTCTGTTTGGAAGGAACACCTTGACTTCGCCCAACTGGGGCGGAACTGTGAGATTCTCTGAGGGTGTGTGTGTGTGTTGTTCTGTGTGAGAAGGACTGGAGGTGGGTGGTAGGGAAGAATTCATTTATGGGCCATATGGAAAAGTCTGTCTGACACTCCAGGGAAACAGAAGCAGAAAAGGAGGAGGGTGAGGGTGGAGTGAGGAAGGTGGAGAAATGACAGGCTATACAAAGTGACCCTGCCTTGCAAAATGCCTCTACATTCTTAGCATAATCTGCACACGTTCCAGGAATGGGGGTGAGAGTGGCTGCATTTGGGAAGCAGTGCAGGTGCTGAGTTCTGGTTAACTGAGTTCTACAAATGGCCTGGGGCCATAGGATGGGTTCAGAGAGAAAGTACACAAGTATTAGGGCAGAAGGTCTGAGAGATGGCAGGAGGGCTCTGGACCACTGCAGGCTGTGCAGTTGGGGCTGTCCAAGTTCACCCAGTCCTCTAAGGCGTGGGACCCAGGGGACATCATGGTTCCACTCTCCCACTTAAGACAGGGTGTTAATACTTGGCAGATCCTAATTCTGTGCCCCAGCCCTTGAAA